AAAGTACAAGCTTACACACTGTTAAACCTAGCCGGTCCTGAAGCGGTTGATAAAGCTGAAACATTTGTGTATGCGGACGATGAAGATCATGAGGATCCAGAGGTACTTTTAACGAAATTCTCTGAATTGTGTTTACCCGCAAAAAACGTCATCATGGATAGACATGCGTTTAATACCGCTGTCCAAAAACCTGGCAAATATGTACAAGCCTATGTCTCAATGCTGAAAATCCTGGCAAAGAAATGTGAATTCGGATCTCTGCAGGATGATCTCATTAGAGACCGTATAGTTTGCGGTATAGAAAATGACACCATTCGCAAACAGTTACTCCGTGAAAAAAACCTCACCCGGGACTTGGCAATTAACATATGATTGCTGCACGAACAGTCAGAGAGGAGCATGAGAGAGCTAAGAAAAGACACAGAGGTATGTGCTCTGCAGAAAACACGTTGCTCAAACTGTAATGGCCAACATTCTTCAGAGAAAAGTAAATGTTTTGCATACAACAAACGCTGCAACAACTGTGGTAAACTAAACCACTTCGCTAGATGCTGCAGGTCAGCACAGCCAACAGCTGCTAAAACTTACTACCAGCCTAGGACCCAGCAAAGGGATAAAATACATGAGCTGGATGCACATGATCAATTTAACACATCCTTGCTGAATAAAAGCATCAATTTATAATTTAATTTTAACTTTTGAATAGCAGTGTACTCTTATTTCCATTGTCACGCCTCTGTAAATGAATATAGGGTATGGTTTAGTTGATGAATTCAGTGCTGTCACCTATATATATTTTTTAAGTACTACCTCTTAAGTAGAGTCACAGGCTCTACTTTTAGGTTTCATTAATACACTCAGTTTCAGGACTTTTCATACCTCAAAGCCAAAGTACTTCATCCACTCCTCCACAGCAGGTGGGATGGCAGCTTTAGCTCGACCCAAGGTGACCGATCCCTCTTTGCTATCTCCAAGAAGTCCTGAATCATATGCAACATACAGGGCGCCACCTGCAATGGTCACTTTTGTTGCAAATCTGAAACATACATCAACACAAATTCAGTCATTCAAAGTCAAAAGGCCACATTGAGATAAAACAGCAGTTATTTACAAACTACTTGGGTTATTGTGACACAAACTATATGGTTATTTTAATTCAACAAAAAGCCAATATTTAACTTGCACAGCTTAAGTTCTTGCTATACTTACTAGCGAACTAGCTCCCCTTAATCTACCATGAAGATAGCTACTCAAATACATGCTAATTTAATTTATAATATAAAAATGATAAACTATACAAAATATAATAATGCACAAATATGTCACTCAGCATAACTCCCAAGCCCAAACAGACACTTGAAGCGAACTGCTAATTAGCTCCATATGCAACAACGCAAAAACACTTACTTGACTACAGGCAAAATCTTTGCAGCCATGGTCCTAAAAGCAATAGTATGCTATTAAGCACAAAACTGTGAAATAAACCCCTACTTTAGAATAGATTGTATTGCTCTGACTTGACAGCGAACTCCATTGACAAGGGCATTTGCGCCTGCAGAACGAGCTGGTAGCAATAAAGCTCGCTTTGAATGCAGTAGGACTTTCACTATCCGCACGTTCGACAAAATAAACGTCGGGTACATAAAAACAAGTTATATGTGTTATGTGTAATTAAAAAAAAAATCTAAATAATTAAAAGTAGACGATTGCAAGTGTTACTTTAATAGAAATTTTGTGTTATTTATTCGATGAATGTGCCGCCATAATCATCACTGAACTTGCTGTCAGCCGTTTGTTTCAGTATCATCAAAGTCCATTTAAGTATTCTACAGTCTTTGGTATCATTAATTAATTGTATGAATCAATAAAAAGACTTAATTTCATGTAATAGGCCTACTGTGATTGAGTAAACAGGATCCCTCTATTAACTTAAAAGCCAAGTTATAGTTTAACGTACTGAAAATTAATCTAATAACCTTTGACTTTCGGGTTTTATTTCCTAGCCAGTCATTTTCTGACACACTCACACGCACACACGACCGAAAAATCACAACTTAATTAAAACATAATTTGAAATAAAACGAAAACCATTGCTAATACCCCCGGACAGTGTGTGTTTATTGCTCCCAAGATTGCGCCACATACATGGGATTGTACTTTGATATGGCTCCACCTTTTTTTAAACACATGATCCGGTTATGCTGGTTCTGTAGTTAAAAAAACTACTGATTTTGACAGTTGATCGGTTCAACTTCATATTTCTGTAAGCTGTGCTTCTTCACCTTTCACAGATTTCTTCAAATGAATCTTTATGGCAAGTTCCTGCTGCTGTGCAGCATAAGCGTCGCTTTTATTGCGCTTCGATGGAGCGCTCCGTCATTTAATGAAGGTGAGTACGACCGCCTTTCTGTTTATCTACGTGTGCTGTAATAAAAAAAATGATATTCAAATAACCTGTAATACCACATTAAATGCATGTGCAAGACCCGTGATTAGTCAAACCAGGATTTAGGGGAAATATTTGTTTTGTTCTTTCTTTCTTCCCTTCTATTTAAAACACATATGCCACTACCTAAAATTGTTTTTGAATTAAACGTTAAATTATATGCTTACATTTCATCAATTTAATAGGTGCAAGTGAGTGGGCGAGTGTGTTTAAAAAAGAAACATGACCTGAACTCTACTGAACTGGCCCATTCATAACAGTTTTAATATAGGCTAGAGTTGATTATTGCACTTCATCTCCCATTAAGGTCATTGAAAATGGATTTTCTGCATTTGGCAATGTGATAAATAATCCTTGATGTCTAACATTTGATGGTCATCAACATGAACTTGCAGGATGATTATCACCACATATTTGCTCATGTATGCATAAATAGTGAATACCGTTGCCAAAAACCCCACCAAAAATCAGTCAAGGCTTTAATTTACCTGGCCACAATGGCATTTATACAATTAAGGATGTGTGACAAGCAAAGGGAGCATCTCTGTCCTGCAGTAGTTGTACCACAGAAATGGTTTTAACCTCAAAATAATTACACCGCAGTGCCTTTGTTGGAGTACAGAGAGGCTATTGGAGAAGTTTAATATAACTTTCTACCCATAATGGATGTGACTAATGGGAAAAGGCCATACATAAAATCTTTTCACGAACTGATAAACTGTGATAACCCTAGAAAGCTTAAAAAGCAGGATTTGTCATTTGACCTTTATGAACATTAAATACACCGTTATAGCGTTATGAGACACTTTTATGCAATAACTATAGGCTATCTTGTATACAATGTCTACACTGGGCGTAGTCTAGCAAAGCCAGACGTTCAGACTAACAACAGAAGTTCTGGACTCCATAGCAGCTTTCATTGGCCAAGGATCGCCCAAGAGGCTACCTGAACGACATGTAAAGCAATGTTTGTTTTGTTCAGCATCATGTTTAGTGACATGAAAATGTAAGTCGGTGTCCCTACAATAACTAAACTGGCATGCAATAAGCCATTCAAGAACATTGTCTTTAGTCATCAAGAGTCTATTCAGTGAACTTCACATACTTTTGAAAATCCAGCTTTAGTTGATCCTAAAAGCACTCATTGTTACAGTTGTAAACACAATGGCGTTCTTCCTCCACAAGGAGGTTTGTAGTCACGGCTTTGTTTCCAGGGCAGACCATTAAAGACACACACATCTCTTGGAAATCCTGTAGAATTCAACCAATCAAATGACGACTTTGAAACTCCCAAAGTGTCTCCCTTTTTGTGTGCCTTATATGCATCTTATGCAACATTCTATTGTTTTTCTACATTAACGTGCTAGACAGACATGTTTTGACCAATGCGCATGATTTTTGGGGTATGATACATATGATACAGGTATGATACAGCATACAGCAAATGTGGTGCTCAACTCGAGACCTTTTTTCCCCATTCGACTGCCTGCGTCTCGCGTTCTGGGTGAATGGCCTCATAGTCAACATCATACTATGAACTGTGTCTTTTTTAGAGTCCTTGAAAGGTGCCAGGGTGCTGGTGACCGGTGCCAGTACTGGCATCGGTGAGCAGTTGGCGTATCACTATGCCCGTTTAGGAGCCCAACTCGTTATCACAGCGAGGAGAGGAAATGTCCTAGAACAGGTCAGTTGAGTTTTCTTCCTTCATTCATCATTTACATGATTCAAGGATATATGACTGCTTCATTTGATTCATCTCAACTCAGGTTGTGAGCAAGTGCTTGGAAATGGGGGCTCAAAGGGCATTGTTCATCCCTGCGGACATGGCAAAGCCCTCTGATGCTGACCATGTGGTGCAGTACGCCATCGAACAGCTTGGGGGTCTGGATTACCTGGTTCTGAACCACATCGGGCCCAGTCCATACAGAATGTGGGATGGAAATGTGGAGCACACACGATGGCTGCTAGAGGTGCCAAATCACAATGAAAACGATTTGTATTGACAATAGCAACTTCATAAAAGGTTATTTCACCCAAAAATCAACATTCTGTCATTATTTACTCACTTACTTTCAAAACTGTTATTTTTTAATTCAGTTAAAGTGAATGGGTGAGTGCAAAAGCACTGTAGCTCTCAAATCTCAGGCACACTTGTAGCCTATATTCAAAAATGACACATCAAGATTTGACATCTTTATTCAAATTTTTGGGTGAACTATACCTGCTAGTTTTGATGCCATATATGGTGTAAAACTAACAAATATATATAATTGATTAGTCATTCATTCATTTCTCCTATAGGTGAATTTTCTCAGTTATGCAGAGATGACTCAAAAAGCATTGCCAACCCTTGAAAAGAGTAAAGGGTCAATAGTTGTTGTTTCCTCCCTGCTAGGTGATTGAAATCTGACACCTTTCTCACAATTGTCGCTGGTTTAACAAACAAACAGATGCTGGAATAACGCCCAACTGTTTTCCACAGGAAAAATATGTGGCCCCTTTGCTTTGCCGTATGCCACAACTAAGTTTGCACTAAATGGTTTCTTTGGAGGCCTTCAGCATGAGCTAGCAATGCAAAAAAGCAATGTGTCCATAACCATCTGCACACTGGGCTTGATCGACACAGATAGCGCCATGGAGAAAATCAAGTAAGAACAGGCTAACATCAAGATCTTTGGTTCTTTATGCTGATAAATGCAATACTGTAAAGTTTAAGTTTTTGTCTAGTGGTACTAGCTCAGCACTAGTTACTAAAGAACATATGGGCAGACAAAGTCTAATTTGTGGTCATAAATTGCACTTATGCAACTCAAACATTCCATATCACTCATGACCGCTCGAGTTGCAGATAAAAGGCTCATTCTTCATATCTCTGATGTGCTTAATGCAGAGGTTACATCAACATGAGCGCCTACCCTGCAGACGAAGCCGCCTGGCACATTATCGAAGCTGGAGCATCTCGCCAGTCTGAGGCCTTTTACCCCTGGTACACATTCTACGCCTGTCTCTTCAGGGATTGGTTCCCATACTTGAGGGACCAGACAATTCAAAACTCCTACACATATAATCCACAAGTTAATAAGGAACCAGTTACTGGAAGCTGAGTTTAATGGGAGTCTATGTGTTGAGCAGAGCATTAGCGGTTAACGCATGTGCTCTGACACACCAAGCCCTGGTGCTCATGAGGGTGATGAGAGTTCTTCTCCCTGTTGTTGAAGACCAAGAATAAAGCTTTATAATGAAATAACATTCAACCTGCTGAGAAACACTTTATGATTAAGGTGATTTGTAGTAATTTATCAAGAACATATTGCTGATGTGGAGATTTAAAGAGTTTAAACACTGTATTTGAATATGTTCACAAACTACAATCACTTTTTTTTACTGTTTGTAAAGTCTGTTAAAACCATATTTCATGTAATTATTCAGGATTTAAAACGACAGATGTTTTGTCTGCATAGTCTAAACTACTTTACCTCAGTAACCCTGTTGAAAAAAACAGCATATGCTGGTTAGGTATGTTTTGACGCTGGGATGCTGGTTTAAACTGGTCCTTTGCTGGTTTAAGATGGTCCTTTGCTGGTTTATGCTGATCATGTGCTGGCAAAGGACCAGCATAAACCAGCTAAATGTCCATCTTAAACCAGCAAAGGACCATCTTAAACCAGCAAAGGACCAGCATAAACCAGCAAAGGACCAGCTTAAACCAGCAAAGGACCAGCTTAAACCAGCATCCCAGCGTCCAAACATACCTAACCAGCATATGCTGGTTTTTTCAACAGGGAAATCACTCTTACCTCATGTTATAGCTTACACTAGCGATATTTCTACGCGACCCGTTGTATCAGACTCAACAATAAAGACGTTCCACTAAAAGCTTGCCGCTTGAGTTTTATTGCTGATAAAAACTAACATTCACAGCGTACATAATTAGATAATGAGAGGTTTCAAGACATTTTGATGGTTTACACATGCGCTAATCAGGTACTATCTTAAGAACACAAAATCTGTGCTGATTTACAGACTACTATCACACTTTTGAGGGTATAATCACAACCCTGAGTTAAGTTAAACCTCTAAAAAATATTGCTATTTGCACCAAACAGAATACATTTGGATGTTGTAACACAATATGT